CAGAGGTTCCACAGACATGTAGGACATGGCATTCAGTCTCCATACAAGAAATGCTTGAATGTCTCGGCAATTTCTGGTCTGCACTGATTAGTTTCTCTATGGGTAGTTGATATAATTTAAAAAAATCACAATCGCAGTGCTGGTCATCCAGTTCTTTAAAAAAAGCTTTTAATAAATGTGGTTAGCTCTGGTACTGAGGACATGTCTGCTAGCTTTCATGTCCTGTCATTTCTTGGAAAACTTGGAAACAGTAGTGTGTGCATACTTTTCATATCACCATGATACAGAACAAGATCTCTGGGAGTCAATTAGTTATGTATTCAACAAGCAATTAAGTAAAAGAGTAAGTGTACTGTGCCATTCACTTCAGTCAAGAAGATGACAATTTTACAAGGGCATGCAGGCCAGAAGCAAAGCACCCTGGGATGCTGGAGGACCCTGGAATATATGCCGACATTCGCTCTCCTGGAAGAAACTCTCCTGTGAGTGATTTAACCCTGGCTCTTAGGTTATTTTTCTCCTAGAAAATCCTGAACATCTGTACACTTGTGGTTTCTACTGGGAGAATGACTCTCCTAGGGAAAACTAAAATTTCTGTACATAGCCTAAAACAAACCAGTACAAAATATCCACTTTAACAATTTAAAACTAAAAAGGTGGAAAGCAAGTAAAGGTGCTTTCTTTCAACATATAAATAAAGCATAATTTACAATTATTTTTTAAATAATTATTTTTAATCTACCCTGCTATTTTCAAAAATTTCAGGGCAAGGAATGTAAGCCCATTTTCTAATAATTATGTTCAACGAAAATTTTTACTTCATCCAAATGATATGTTTGGGCTAAGTGAATACCTGTTAGTGTAAAAGCAATATGTTTCTTCTCCTCAAAACACAGACTTATCAATTCTTACTAACACTAACTTTTTTTCATAATACCACCAGAAATATATATTATTGGTTGGTTGCTGCCATATTACCATGTTCACCCAAATGTAAGATGAAGTCCCCACCCCCAAAAAAGAGCCCCTCATCTTAAATACATACAAGGAAACCTCATTAAATACTTTGTATAGCATTAAACTACTGCCAAAAGCAGCATGTGCTCAGTCATGGAAACCAACTGTGAAATTAATTAAATGCAGCCAACACTGAGCATGGCCCATACTGGGCAAATATACTGATAGGAACTTACAAGGATAGGTTAGTGCAACCCATCTGAATAACAGAGAAGGTACTTCCCTTTGTGCAATTCTAGCATGCGTGTATGTGTGCATGTGCAATTCCCCTGATCATAACACCATGGGCAGTCACCCATGCTGCCCACCCCTAAGGTTGGCTCTGCCATTGTGCACAGTCCCCCTCAGCACCAACTTTTTCAAATCACATTTGAGCCATTACATGGAATACATTCTGACCTCCTTGTGGCAGGGCACTGTGTGTGCGGGCAGCTGCCAGGTGCCTGATGAGGGCAGCCATTTTGGGATCTGGGGCTGTCCATATAAACAGGGCAGCTTGGCTGCTACAGGCCAGGCAACAATATTGCCTGGCTGGAGAGCTGCTGAGATCATCTGGAGGTAAGGGAGGAGCTGTAGGGGATGGTAAGGAGGCTCCTGGTCCTGGACATGACCTAAAACTGCACCCTGCCAGGAGTGGGTGGCCTAGTGGGGCTCTCAGTGGCACAGGAACCCCCAGGAAATGCCAGGCCAGTTACCACCCCAGTGAAAGGCGGATTGGGGCGCCTTAACCCCTTGCCCCCAGCACCGGGTGGGTAACCCCTGTGTTTGTATGAAGGGCCCAGAGGGCAGACCCTGGGAGAGAGTGAGGGGCTAGAGACCCGACCCGAAAGTACCCTTGACTGGCCCATGCTGGGGCCAGGACCAGGATGGTCAAAAGGGCCAGGGGCCCACCGTGAGGGATGCCCAAGAGCCAGGGGCCTGGGGTCCCGGACTGGCCTGGAAGTAGGCCAGGGCTGGTAGCCAGAGGTCCTGGGGGGACCACACCCGAGAGGGGAAAATAGTTTCGGGGGGGCTAGGTAGCCTGAATGAAGGCAGAGAGGCTGTCTGAGTGGAGGGATCATGGAGGGATCCTGTTAGGACGATTCTGGGGCCCAGCATGGGAGCCGGTGATTATGTGAACATCAAGATGACATCTGCAAGGCTTGGGTTGCGGTAGAGGGGAGGAAAGGAGCCGCAGAGAGCGCCCCCTGGCATCGGGGCATCAAAATGGGTAGCTTCCCACTTAATTGACATCAATTAATGAATCAATTAACATCAAGGCATGGCAGGTGAGAAGGCGGGTGGTTGGCCCAAGAACAAGGGGGTGGGCCACAGAGATCGGCCCTGAGTAGGCCCCCTGTTACACTCCTCTTCACTTCTACAGCTGAGCTGTACCTTTCTCATTTCCAATGATTCCTGTTTTTTTGCCAGCCTTAATTGTCTGGCAAACAAGCATCATTAAATGGTGCCCCAAACAGTTCACTCAGAATCCCTGTCACCTCTTCTCTCAGCCTAATGCATATGGTATTTAGTGTGGCCCTGCCCTTCATGAGGTGAAGTTGGACCAGGTTGCCCTGCATCTCATCTGCATATACATTTTTGGAGGTTCCCAGGACTCATGACAAAGACACCCAAGTTCTAGTCATGAGTGGGAAGCTAATTAGCAAATGGGGGGGGGCGTATCTGGAGTACACACGCACACACTGAACAGTGCTGAGTTGTGGGGTCCCTATGACTTGAAACACTGTCAACTCTGCTGGGACTCTGCTCAATGAACTATACAGTAAATCATGAGCCTTTTGGCTTTGGACTAATATCATGCAGTCTGCACTATATACAAGTAGGTACAAAAGTACTGCTTAAAAGTGTGCTTATGGAGTACCAGTGGTAAAACAACTTGTACCATTTTCAAAAAAAGTTGAAATGCATCAAATTCTGGAAGAACTCAGTCTACGGGTGTCACGGCGGGGTCCTGCAGGGAGGGCCATGATCTCCTCGAGGTCCCTCGCTCTGTGTCAAGGCCGGCCCAAGACACCCTCTTATTCTCGCCTGCCACATCTTGCTGGTAAATATAAAGTTGGGAGGCTGCCTATGACTCCCTGGGCACGGCTACTCGGGACCTCCGTCCCCGTGGTTCTCCCGGACTCCTGCGATCTCCCGGTATGATGGGTGCTTCCCAGGCACCCTAGCCTTATGGGCTGCGC